GCGGGGCGGCCGGGTTCCCTTCCAGGGCTCGCAAAACTCATCCTCCCGTCAGCCAGACACCCACCGGGGTGGCAGCCTGCCGCCGGGCCAACAGCACGGGGTTTACAGCAAAAACCATGACCCCCTTCCCTTCACCGGACTCCGAAGTATGAAATACGCTTGATCTCTCCTTGCAGATGCAAAGTCGTTGTTCGTTGTTGCCTTCTAGGCCGATAGTGGCGCCGTTTGGCGCAGCCGAAGTCCACCGGCCTTTGGCACAGCATTTGTGGCATGGCCAAAAAGCCTGTTCCCAGGAATCCCTGTTGCGCTGAGTTAGGATGCTGAAGCATCGAGGTTGTTCCCGGTTGCCTGATGCATCTTTGGGGAGGTCTGTGTCAAGCTGTGTGGCTCTCTCGCTGCTTTGCTGCTGTCTAGTGTTACAAGCAACAGGCAGAAACTGAGGAGAAATGCTGAAAATCAGCATTCTTTAAATCTCCAGGCAACAAGGCATTAAACATAACAGGACTGAGGAAAAATACCTTGTACGGACAAGAAACTCTTCACAAATAACACCAAAGACGTTCTCTAGCTACTACGTAAAATGTCTAGTAAGCTCCTTCTCCACAGCTGCTAGCAGGGACTTCAGGCTTTCTAGAGATGTTCTGGGTCAGGGCATTTTCACACCCTTCGAGAAATGTCCCACGTCTCAAGGCGGTTGGAAGTGGGTAGCTAAACCCTCCAGCTCCTCTTAGAGCTGATATTAATGCCGTTGATGAGTGTATTGCGGCGATCCTTAATGGGAAGAGCGCGGTGCTGTAGGGAGCACGCTGGCTTGAGCCCAAAGGTGGGGGAGCAGTGCCTGTGGGGCATCCTGCCCAAGGACGTGGTGCCCCATGCCCACCTTCCTGGGCCATTTGGAGTCATCCTGGGCAAGCACCATTACACAACTGCTCCTTGCTGCCTGAACACTGACTGTGAATGCTAGAAAGCCCAATACAGGTGTTCGTAACCTGTCCTGTGCAACATTAACCCACCCAAAGACTTGGGAGGAGCAAGGTGCAGGACCTGCAGAGCCCGGGCTCCGGGTCTGGTTGCGTCAGATCGTTGCCCTGTGCCACCATGTCTCTGCATTTCAGAGTAAACCTCCCTCCCCTTGCTCAGCCTGACTGCATGGTCTCTTCTGAGACAAGCAAGACTGTGGGCAGGGCAGAGCTTGAGGGGATGCCACCCATTCCCGATCCACGTTTGACCATCTTGGGACCCTCGTGCTGGCAATGTTGCTTAGATTCTCTGGTACTGCCCTTGTCCTCGCTTCCTCCATGTACTTTCCCGCTGTCCTGCCATCTCCCTCTCCCTCAGCCTCTCCAGCTGCCAGAAGCCATCGGATGGCTGCACTCTTCTCATTGGTGTCTTGGTGCAGCTCCAGCTCCCCAAACCACAAGCTGCACCGACTGCTGAATTGCAAACCCTCTTTCTGATTTTCATGTGTATGTGCCATCGTGAAAATGGCATTTTGCAAGGATTGGCAAAAGCTCTCCCTAGTAAAGCTCCCTCAGCGCTGAGCATCCTTCTTGACATCTTGTTTTCCTCTTCCCCTTCGGAAAGACCTCAGACTGGGGGAGAGTGTGTGGCATGCTTCATTGGTTTGGGCAGATGAGTATGTGAAAAGATTACATGGGTCTCCTGATGAGAAAAGGAAACATCGTTTTGTTCCTCGACATCCGGTAGGGGAAGCAGGTGATTTTTCTGATTATTTCTCTTAAAATTAAAAAGCTATTATGGGTACTTTAAAATGTTATTACTGTGTTTAAGTAGTAATGCTAATAGTTAAAATAAATAATATTGATTAATGCATGCTCATTAATGTTATATCTTTTAAATATTATAGTTATTATATTAAGTCTTGTAGGAACAGCTTTAAAGGTTCTTAATTAGCTTTTGCTTAGGCAGAGGACCAGCACGGGGAACAGCAGAGCGATGACTGGCGGATGCGCATCCAGCTCTAGGAGGGGTGTGATCGCAGGACTCGGGCAGGACTCAGGCGCTTCGGTTCAAAGCTGTGGCGATGAGAACTGCCTCTCAGCGGCTGCCTGACCCCAGCCTGAGGTTTGTGAATGCCACACTTCCACGTGGCAAAGGACTTCAGCTGCTGAGAGTCCGATGCTTCAGCACCCATGCAGGCCCAAGGCTCTCTGGGGTCCTCAACCCATTACCCTGCAGAGCCTTGCTGGTGTGGGCTTGTGTCGCGGTTTAACCCTGGCTGGCAACTCAGCACCATGCAGCCACTCGCTCACTCCCCCCACAGTGGGACAGGGGACAGAATCAGAAGAGTAGAAGTGAGAAAACTCATGGGTTGAGGTAAAGACAGTTTAATAGGGAAAGCAAAAGCTGCGTGCGCAAGCAAAGCAAAACAAGGAATTCATTCCCTGCTTCCCATCAGCAGGCGGGTGTTCAGCCATCTCCAGGAAAGCAGGGCTCCACCACGCGTAACTGTTACTTGGGAAGACAAACACCATCACTCTGAACATCTCCCCCCTTCCTTCTTCTTCCCCCAGCTTTATATGCTGAGCATGACATCATATGGTCTGGAACAGCCCTTTGGCCAGTTGGGTTCAGCTGTCCTGGCTGTGCCCCCTCCCAGCTTCTTGTGCCCCTGGCAGAGCTGAGAAGCCCTTGCCTCGTGTAAGCACGGCTTAGCAACAACTAAAAACATCAGGGTGTTACTGACATTCTTCTCGTACTAAATCCAAAACACAGCACCATGCAAGCCACTATGAAGAAAATCAACTCTATCCCAGCCGAAACCAGGACAGCTTGGGACACCGGGGGAAGCTGGTGCTTTCTTTGGAAACCGCTTCTGCTGTCTTTTTTTGCCAGGTGAGTGGTTTACACACTGGGTACCTGGGCTGCGTCCCTTCTTCCCACTGTGCCCCGAGTGAGTGCCCGGGCCAGTGGGTCTCCCAGTGCCTTGCCTTTGGCACCGTGCCGCTTCCCATAGACTGTTCAAAAATTCTTTTGCTGTGGAAAAAACAGCAACTGGGAAAACATCTACGCAGAAGAGGTGGTGTCAGCTCCAGTCCCTGCTCACAGCTCCCCAGTGACTGTTTCATGGGAAACACAAGCTCTTGCTGGAGCGTGGCCTGGAGCCCTGGGCACCCCTCTCCTCAGGTGAGCGTTCCCATTTCTTTTCCACCTCTTGCAATCTCCTGAGGATGCTGAACGTTTACAAGAGGTGAGAAGTGAATGGATGGAAAAGCCCATCTATTCAATCTATTAAATACAGAGACACCACTCAGGAGTTGCCTGAGACAAAGATTGCTGGCTGTTGCGAGGATATTCAGAGGAACTACCACTTTATGCTTTCCCTTTCCTGTACTTTTCCCCAAGTACCTGCTTTTGGCCACTGTAGGAGTCAAAATACTAGGTGACATGGGCTTTCAGCAAGCAAACAGAGTATTTTCAGGATAGATAAAGCTACACAGGCCTTTCTCTGCTGCTGCTTTAGTGGCATGTCATAAAACCCCAATTTTTTTTGTGAATGAGCCTTTGGCAGTTGTTCTAGCTGTATCAGGAAGCAAAAAAAATTAACCAGATAATAAAGTAAGAAAAATGAGAACAGCAGCATTAAGGTTGCAAAGTTAAATGCTTAGAGGGAAGAAAATGTCAAAATGAGGAGGCTTCTAATGATTTTAGGATTGCCACTTTTTGAAGACTCCCAATCTGGTGCCCTCCCGTGTGTACTAGGAGATAGACTTGTGTTACGAGATATATACTCTTATTTTTTCCATAGGGTCCCTCCCTTGTTCATAGTGCAGGGCAGGGATGACTGGAGCCGAGTGAGGAGCACAGGGTGAAGGAGGGGGTAGCCTGCAGCCTCCTACCTCCTCCTCCTCCTCCTCCTGCTGCCCTCCTGGCAGGTGCTCGTGGGTGGGGAAGGGAGCTGCTGGTGAACACCGAGGACGGCTGCCGACTGCCGTCAGACCCTGCTGGTGCAATGCTGGATGTCTTGAGTGAAACCACACTTTTCGACAGAGGACGGCTCCTCGTTTCTGGGTGCTGAGGGCACCTGGTGCTTAGCTGTAGAAATCTTTGTCCCCGGCGCACCTCAGGTCAGCTAAAGCTGCGCATGGCTGACAGCCCCACTTATTATCTAGTGAAATTTCTACTTCAGGGCCCAATTCTAAATTTCTTTTTCACAGGAAGCAGGACTGACTCACAGTCTATGTAAGTACATATTTTGAAGGATATACCTTTGTTTATAGCGGTGTCCATGCAGTCATTTATAGTTAGGTACTTAAATATAAAAATAACATGAGAGGAAGTGTTTTGCTGGCGGCAGTACTGATAGCCAGAATGTTGTCTAATACTTTACATGTAGAGGGCTTCCTTCCAAAATTGGGTGCCTTGGTATAATCATTCTTTTGCTGTGATCAGATGTGCTCGTACAGGTAGCTTGTCATGCTGCCAACCTGATAAATCTGTGCAGGCAGCAACTGGTACGGAAGACCGTCTGTCCTCTGAGAGACAGGCACTATTTGCAGCGGTTAATGCTGCAAGGTGAAGCAGCCCAGGAGTTCCCCAGCCTGCTGGGCAGATGTCCTGGCAGCCTCTGGCACTTGAAAGGGGCTTCTGCTCCCTTAGCCCCCAGTTTTTCACAAGCCAGCAAAGGTCCTTGGTTCCTGTCATCTCGTAATATTTTCAGTTCCTCGTTCGAGTCTGGTAACACTTCCACTTACCTTAATAGTTGCCTTCCTGCCTCAAATGTAATGTTTTTCTGTCGTCTTTCAGGGTCATGTTTGTCAGCTTTCCCCATCTCCCCCTCTCCTCCTTGGGGAGGCTTCCCCCACTGGTGGCACCCCTGGTCTTTGGGGTGAGATTAGGGTGCAGGAGTGGGTTACTAATGCCAAATGTCACTTGTGCCTGTGCAGCCTTCTTGATCTGCAGTAAAACTAAGTGGAGGTTCCTTTGGGTCACCTGTGATGTGGAAGAAGACATGGAGGTTAAAGGGGGGTTCATCATTGCCTGGGACTGAGTTGCCTGTGGTCCAAACTGTGCCGCAGAGAGACCAAAAACGCTGTCCAGAAGTTCTGGTTTAGGCTATGATGAGATGCCCCTGAAGGTGTCTGTCTCTCCACTAAGCGTGGAAGGTGTTTAAGCGACTGATTTAGATTACATATCTATTTTTTTTGAAGTGGCTAACATTTAGATACTTGAGGAGAGACATCTTGACCTTCCTAGAGTCAGTTATTGTCACATGAAATGTGCTTTTTTATTATTTTAACAAAAAGCAAACAAAACCCCCAACCAGTTTCATAACCTATTAAAGGACACCTGAGAGCTAAGGAAAAGAAAGTATTTTTCTAATATGTTGCCATAGTTGTGCCTTGCCTGAAAAAAAAGTCACTGTGAAAAAACACACCTTCAAGTGAACCTGAAAATTGCCTTCCGACAGTAAATGAAGGTATTGCTTTCCTCTGTGATGAAGTTAAAATGTAATTAAGGTTATGTTGCTTTGGAAAAGTTCATTGATGATGTGGTGGGGTAGAGGGTGGCGAGACCGCAGAGATGAAACGTGCTGGAAATTAGCATGAGGTGTGATGCACTCACAGCAATCTTCCGCCTGTCCTGGCGGTTTGTCATGAGAGTGTCTATTGAAGGAGGTGATGCTTTGACTGTGACACACAGCGTGAAAACATGCCATGAATGGGAAGGCTGGTGTGATGGGGAACTTTCTAGAGTCTAATGGTCTAAACTGAACGTAAGCAGATTATGAGGGCGGGGAGGGGGGAGCGTGGTAAGTGACTATTGGCATGGTTCATCTGTGTGGAGGCATGAGAGAACTTCCCCTTGAAGTGAGAAATTTCTAACATAAAAACTTCTAAAATATTATCTGCTCAGATTTTGTTACTTCCCAACATGTCTAGAGGTTACAGTGGAGAGTTATTGTCCGTTCTTGTAATTAAAATCACTGGAAACTGTAATTTAACAGCAAATTTAAAATAAAAAGAACAAAACTTACACAAAGTCCCCAAACAAAACAAAAAACCCTATAGGTGTTGACACATCCTATCACCAGGTTTAGAAGGTAAGTACAAGAAAAACGATTGTTATCAGGTGTGAATTAACATATAGTGAGTTTGCTCGCAACTGAAGAAGGTGACAGATATAACACATGCATTAATAAAACTCCAAATGAAAGGTATGGCCGTCATTAGGGATGGTACTTGGAGAAATGCGATCGATTCCAGAAATTGAATTTAATTTGATGGCTTTTACTGTAATTAACACAATGGTTTGTACAAGCATAGATCTCTTAACATTATTATCTAAGGTGACAAATTATGAAATTAAATGTTCATTTAAGATGTAATTCAAATTTTCTAAAGGTTTTCTTGAGTCAATGGGTCTCAGTTAATTTCCTCAGAGCTAACAGACCTGACTTTTTTTTTCCTGTCAGTTTTCTGCCGATGAAGGTGATCCTGATTTACATCAATACTGCAATGAAGGCAACATATGCAGAGGAAACATTCACAGGTTCTGATGAGTTCTTGACGGCCCCTATCGCATATACTTTGCAAGCTTGAAAGGTATTTTCTTTGTAGCATTAGATTTTAATGGTACTGAATGTAACGTGCACATATAATAACAATAATTCACTTTCCTTGTGTTCGCCCATTTACCTTGTCATATATCTGCTAAGCACAGGGTCTGGTTCTCTTCTCTTTTACACCTGTTTTACCCGAGGGCTGTTTATTTTGATGGAGTTACTCCTGATTCAGACCTGTGTATATGAATCTGTTATCTGAGAGAGGTAAATTAATGCTTTTAATCAAGACCACTCTTCTGCCTACCCATCAACATCAAAGCCTAGACATGCTATTAGTTATTGAGAAAGGAAGCGCAGTGTGAGTAAGCAGCCCTCAGCTATCTCTGGCTCCCCATTACCAGAATTTTAGCACCATTACCTCAAAACCATGAATACTTTTATCCTCACAGTCACTTGGAAAGGCTATATATCCCCATTCAACAGACCAAAGCCACAAAAGGATGCAGAATTTAGGCAGAAATGAGGCGCCTAAATCTAATCCTCAAGACCACTTTGCGCAGCTTCTACCCAAACTCTCCCTACATTGACGGTGCCTCTGTTTTGGTCAGTGAAGTCCCACATACCTGAAG